AGATTTATTATTGTCAGGACTTTTGGAGGATGAATGTTCCTCATTAATCAAATTAGTATATACAAAGAGCAATCTATTGTTAGCTAAAGTTGGGTTGGGTTCAGATATTCTACCTTCGTATTTGTGCTGGAAAACCTCTAATTATTAAATATTAACATAGACTGTTTTGTGCCTATAACAAATACCATCAAAAGTTGCTTTGAATCTTGTTTGTTCTGAATCTATCTATTAATCTAGTCCGATTAGATCTTAGGTACATCGTCTATGAATGAACTTTTGCATTGTCAACATTCAGCCCAATGTTTGAACACACAATGTGAATTGGACTAAGGTATATCTCAATAGAAACGTGTGTTACATAACTGTGTAAGCTATGAACGGCGGTATGTGTAGTTATTAAGATACTGGCCCCAAATTATTCTACTTTGGTGTCCCAAACATTGGTGAATGGTTGACCCTGCTCAAAAGTTCATATGAGGTTGTAGTCTGAGATTGTAATGCCTTATTAGATACTGAGATGAGAAAATTGTATGAACCAACAGTTTTGTTCGCATAAAAGGCGATTTTTGGATGTATTTGTGTATAGCACAAAAACAGGTATGTAGATATTAGTTTTGAGCGGTTTCAGCACAAATATCGGATTGTAGGAATAAATCTGAGACCCGTTCAACCGCCATATGACTGCTACATAGATTTTCATTGTTCGTTACTTGATTGTAAATACAAATTTGATTAATGATGTAAGCATAGGGTCGATCTGGCAAAAATGCGCTGTCTATCTATGGTGAGGGAGGTGAATCTTTAGATAATAAAAAGTTGTAGAATTAAGTCACTTGACCACTCTATTAGATGTAGTAATATGATGACCATTTTGCAGTTACCTGTGTTTCACAGTGATATTCCATGCAAGACTGAGAATAGACCATGAGCAAAAAATCCGTTTTAAGCTTTGAAGCAAATATATCCATTTTTCGGGTGGGAGGGTGAGAATGTTAGAGTTATATCGCTCACAGACGAGGAGTTTATTAGATTAAAATGTTTATGTTTATTGATTGATGGGCTCTAATAGAAGTCTAAAATATGTGCAAACAGTATTTATAAATAGAATTAGCATAGTTTAAGACTCTAGGGTAATCTAGTAAAAGTTAAAGTACACATGTCTGAAGGATTTGCAAAAGTTGAACTATAAGTACAGTGTAAAATAAGTGAAGTGTTAAACAATTAGCATTGAATAATAAGCGTAGAGTAATAAAAGTGAATTGAGGCTTTCTATATTGAGACTCAGACTCGTGTGTTGTCTGTGTTGTTGAGTCGCTGATATTTTGCTGACTTGTGCAGTTCTTGTGTGTGTGTCCTAATAGTGTTTGTTTGGTGTGTTTGTTATTTTTCGGATTTTGGTATTTGTTTTTTTTTGTCTCCTAGAAATAGAGTGTGATAAAATGATTTCATTGATGTATGAGTGTTAAATGCTATACATGGTTTCTTTTGTTTGTTAATAATTTTTAAAGTTTTTTTTTAGATTTTTTTTCTTTTCTCAGCTTTAATTGATTGGAGTCAAATTGATGTGCGTGTATCACTATGTCGGTGATGTATGTGGATCAAGAGGGTGAGGGTTTGGTTAGTTGTCGTCGTTTAGCGGCAAGTTTGTGATGGTACCTGACTGTGCAGGGGTTTCGTTTGTTGGTAACACGGAGCTCTTATTCAAGGACTCCTATGTTGATGGACTTATGGATGTTGACGTGTCTCTTTTGTGGACACTGTATTGTCTTTCGATGTGTGACGTGAAGATGTGACGTAGTTGATAACGTGTGTGTGGCTACCGCATTTTATTCTATGTTGGTGCTGGAAGAGAAGAGAAACAGAGTAAACCGAGGGAAGCTTGATGATAAACTTAAATAAACTTCCCAGATGTTTGGCTTACAACCCACGTGATCCGTCTTGGTCAATGCCTATAATCCTTAACACCGATTTTTTCATACGTGTACGTATGGGCACTGGGGCAGTCACTGTGTAACGTCAATAATTGTTCGATACGTACATGTCGGTTATAATTCTTCAGTTCATCTAGAATTGACATAGGGGGATGGTGACGCCATGATATGTGTTCTTTAAAAGGATAGACAGAAGAAAGAGATAGAGTAGATTGAGACATCTTACCTTTGAGGGCCAGTGTTTGTTCGCAGTGCTCCTCTAAGACTTTCCCAGAACACCACTGGACCCACAGTGCTTCTCTTCTGTCATGTGGCCGTTCAGTCTCTCTGGTTTTAACGTTTTGGAGGCGGGCTTCAGTCTGCGGTCGCTCGCCGTCGCTTGGCTGGTTGCTGATTTGGCTTGTGCCTCCTTTTGAGTCTCCACCTTGTGTGGATGGGTTGTTCACTGCGCTTATGCGGTGTAGTTGACGGAAGTTCTGGGGGGTTTTTTGTAGTTAGCTCCTCAGCGAGCTCTTTGACACGCAAGTGACCAAAAGTTTTGTTCAAAGTTTAATGTAAATAAAGGATGTTCGAAATATGATTTGAAGCCTGTACTTTTAAAGTACAATATAAAGACAAATTACTACAATTAACCTATAGACTGACATCAGGCCCTTTTTAAAATACGGTGATTTGTTCCCCAATGACGTTAAATTATCTTACATTGTATTACTTGTGTGCCTCTGCCCACTTCATGTGGAGATTTGTATCCATGTCAAATAGACCGTCAGCCCATGTGCGATCACCAAAATGTACCTTGCTAAGCAAGAGTTGTTGATTGGATATCATTCCATTTTCATGGCTGAGTAGAGATGGTTATCGTGACACAGCTTCAAAGTAAATTATAGTTTGTATATGCCTACCTGTTTCTATTTATCATTCACAATGCCTTGAGCCATACATGCAAAATTCTACCATAGAATCGTGTGTCCAAACTTATTAAGGTGGTTCGGGATTCTGACATAATTCAGATCGGTTCAAGCGTCTGAGAATTCAGGGAGTGGGTCGAATAATGGGTCGCGATGCTTGTTATATTTGTATAGTCGCGTGGGGTGTGATAATGTATTGATGATATTATGCGCTTTGTTGTGTCATATCTTTGTTCTGTTAGCACTTGAGTTGCCTTGTGTATCAGACTGAGCTACACTATTTGCCTTGCTAAATTTAATTTGAACTCTTTTATAGTTTAGAAAGCTAGTGGGCACGCAAACCCATGAAATAGAGGCTGTTTCATTGCTCGCGGATACCTACGTTGTGGCCGTGGCTCTGATTTCTAGTCTAAATACTGCTTAAAGTAGTGGGTAGGTGTATTTGTCTTACCTGGTCTGGTCTTCATGTAAAGCTGCCGGGACGTTGACGCAGGCACGAAACGTTAGAACTGCAGCTGGCGGACAAACAGGCCGGAGCGACAGCCTGGCTTCTGCACCCCATAACTTTGTCCTGTTGTGCTTCTTCTAATGGCAATCATCTCTGCAAACTCACCGTGCTTTACAACATGTTTTAGATAGTAAAGGGTAACGGATTATGAAAATTCCGTTCATTTTAATGTCTGCATCTGCATCTCACACAATTTCGTACATGTTTGAGCAGGGGGTTGTAAGAGTGGTGTGTTTAGCCATTCCAGCAAGCAGGTCTTAGATGAGTTTCCCCCTGTGTTGCCCTATCTCACTAAAAACAAATGCAATAGACCCCGCTTATAACACCCTCCACTGACCCCTCTTGGTGTGGCTAGGCCTTTCAGAAGAAAGAGAGTTCTGAGCAATAACAATTATAATAATAAATCATGCCTTAGTTACTTCTTTCATCTCCACTAACCTGACTTAACTTGACCTGCGAAGCGAAGCCCTCATTGGGGTAGTTTGTTTGGCTTTTTACTGTATGCTTCTATACGTTTAAAGTACACATGTTGTTCTAAGACTCAAGAATAACATTCCTAAGACAGTGTCTATTTCAGTGATTAGTAGCGCGAGGTCTTTTCTAAAACTGTTAATTCGTCCAACACTATCAAACGTGTTGAAACAGGCTAAGTACAGTGCGTGCATATTCTATAATAAACACCTCTACTGTTCATTGGTCTCATACGGGGGCAGAAGACGAATATCCACAAATGTTAATGAATGTCCATTAGATGATCTGTGAGTGTCCTGGGCCTCATCCTCCACTGTCATCATGACCAATATTTTTAAAATCATTGGTTCATAGAAAATTGGTTTACAGCATTTACCACTGTGGTGGACTACTATGAAAGCAAGTTATATTAATTGCCAAAAACCCTATATATGTTTGTGTATTTATTAGTCGGTCAGCCCAGATAGATAGCAACATAAAATCATTTAAAAGCTCGTATATTTTATCCAACAAGTCTCGCCTTAGCCATGTTTAATTTATCGTATGATTTCGGTATCAAATTTGCCATTTTATATAAATTCTTTTTCTCAGAAAATAATATGTTTTTGGGTAGTTGCGTATGGCTCTGTAAGGCGATGAAGTCACTTTAAGATGAATGACTCACGTATACTGTGGAGTCAGATTTATTAGCTTAGCTTAGGCGCTAGTGAAGTCAAGACGGAGAACAGCGGGAGGGAGTTCATAAATCAGTTATTCTTAGGCAGGGGAGAAAGTCACGTGTAAAGTTCATTATTATAATGCGCACTAAACATGTGAGATCCGAGTAAAAAAGCAGCACCGCATTGGTTTCACTCTGTTTGTCCCATGGCGGAAGTCGCTGTTGTTTTGTGGAGCCCCATGATGTGTTCATTACCTCCCCCAGCAGGCGGAAGAGGCGCTACTGCAACGTCTTGCTCGAGAGATAACGGTCAACGGTTACGGTTTAATAAAAAAAGTAGAGATCTTGTTTTCCAGTTTTAGGTATTGTTACAGGCTAGTTTATGCATGTACAAATATATATTAATTATGTATTTTTAATACGGTATTTCAAGTTTGCATTGTACTCGCTGTGATTGAACTAAACTCCATCTCCAGAATGGCCCCTGGACTGCGGCGCTCTCACGTGACTGGCTGAGGACCAACATGGCGGACGCTGAAGCTGCTGTCAAATCTGCTGGAGCGGTTATGTTGACTTGAACGGAATCACGCGAAACAAGTTTATTACAACAATCCTTGATATCCACAGAGGAGCTGTGAAGATATGAGCTGTACAGGAAGTGTCGCAGGATGAGTTCAGCGCCCTGCTCCGAGAAGATGCGAGGTCTCCTGCTCGAAGGTCGTACTGTCTTTCGGATGAGGCGGAAGCCATCTACAGCAAAATGATGGGCGATGGAATAGGTAGAGGCTGACATCAAAGTGTCTTTTTAACATGGATCTAGAGTATAGGAAGTATAAGTAGGAGTGCCTAGTCCATGTGACTCCCAGTAACGTCCAGCAGTTGAGTCACGTCCCGGGCTCCTCAGTGTGCCCAGCAGGCGGGGCCGTCCCTGTGGCTCCTCAGAGGGTGTCCCATCAGAGAAGGCCAAGTCCCTGTGCTCCTCAGGAGTCCAGCAGGAGGCCCCCACAGTCCCCTGGTGCTCCTCAGGTGTCCAGAAAGGGCCAGTTCCTCGTGCTCCTCGAGGTTGTCCAGCAGGAGGCCGTCCCTGTGGCTCTCAGAGTCCCAGCAGGAGGGCGCGTTTTTGGTCCAGTCCCTGTGCTCTCAGTTGTCCCCAGCAGGAGGCCAGTCCCTGTGCCTCATCTCCAGTGTCCCGCAAAGAGGCCAGTTCTGTGCTCCTCATGTTGTCCCAGCAGGAGGCCAGCTCCCTGTGCTCCTCAGTGTCCCAAGCCGGAGGCCAGAGTTCCCTGGTGGCTCTCTCAGTGTCCATGCAGGGAGGACTGAGTCCTGTGCTCCTCAGGTTTGGTGCTCCAGTCTTTCACGATGGGGGAGTGGTGCTTCTTGAGCATTGTGGTATGGCCTCTGTGGTCCTGGGTAGTCCAGCAGCTAGTGGAGGGGCCAGAGTCCATGTGATTCTCCACAGTCGTGTCGAGTTGGTTCATATGGCTCCTAACATGTCACGATGTACTCGTGTTGGGGGGGATTACTGGCAAATCGGATCTATTTATGTTCCACAGGAATATAACAGCAAAAGGTGTGCATCGGGTCACCTGTCCGACTGTGACTGTGTGTGTACCCTATCGAAACTGAATAAAATAAATGGAAACTTCTACGGTCTTTCACCCTCTGTGTTTGTCAGTTCACATAGCCTCGGGCGCGCAGGACATGGACCGGCTCCAAGTGGAGGGCTTCTCACGGCTCAGACCAAACGGCGTCAGGGCGCTTGGCTTCTGGAGCTTTCAGCGGACTAGGCCGGTGGCTCTCTCGGCTTTCTGGAAAAGCCACGTTCCAAAGTGCGGGAGGCGTGCTGAAACCAGAGGCGCTGGGAAGCCTGCGCTGAGGCCATGAGCTGCGGATGGCTTGTGGGGTGTGATGTGGTAGTGTCTGTCGAGAGGCGGCGCTGCTTGCGACACACGTTCGGGGCCGCCAGCGGATAGCCGCGTTAGGCGTTGGTAGAGTGAGCTGGGAAGAAGCGGAGAGGAGTGTAGACAGAGAAAGGTACGGATTTAATGAACACATTAGTTTTCCAGAAATATCGTTTTGAAGGTACTCTATTTTGCTATAATGTTATATAATGCCCATTTCTGTTCTCTCTACTCAGAGACCTCAGAAGTTTGGGTGTTTGTGAAGTGCATGGATCGAGACCTAAACTGCAGTGAAAACTGTCTTGAAGAAATCGGCCGAACATTCAGCCAATGATCGACCGCATCGTTCAACCGCTCGCCGCAGAAGTTCTGAGGAGGCCTGATGCAAACTGAAAAAGACTTTTGAATATGTGCCTTTTTCGATCATTCCAGCTCAGAGATATTATAGACTTTTTTGTAAATGTAAATACGTATAATAACATGTAAAATAACCATTCATTTGTATGTTAATCGTCTTCTTTTTGTGTTGCTTTTTTATAGGACAAATAATGAACCTGTCACTTAATATCTACAATTAAAGCTGAGAACCTAAACTTTTCAAACCATAAAAAGTAAAACATTGAAATAAAAAGTTATTCATTCCTCACTCTCAAAACAGCTCATGTTTATATCACTTCAACATGAAACCAATACATGTTTTTTTCACTTCCACTAACTTAGAATCCTTCAACCATGATATTTTGACCCATTAAAACAACAAACAATTAACAACCGATCAATGGCTCCATTTCTACTTAGCTGGAAGCCCGTTGCACCACTTGTATCCTTGGTGTTTATTTCTTCGTGCAGATGAAAAAAACTATTATGGGGTAGGGAGCATAGTAGCGTGGATCTATAGAGAGTCACGTATCTGAGGTATCTGTGTTGATTAAGAGGGCAATAATAAACACATTTTATCAAATCTTCCTGTTACCGACAACTACTGTATTAGAATATTTGTTTTTTTCCTGGTTCTTCACACTGTCTTTAATTCTGTGTAGTGAGGTCCGGTCCTGAGTGGAATTAACTGTGTGTTGGACGATTGTTGTAAACACATATGACTATGAGATTGGATACCATGCCCGTACAGCAGTCTGGCGCTCACTGTTGAGTATAGTCGGTTATGTAGAGCGGAGTTGGTTTGGGCGTAACAGTTGTTTTTTGTGCTGTTTCATGATGAAAGAATAGGTCAAAAGACCTCGTTTGTCCACAATACTCAATCATGTTTTTTTGTTTTTTTTTTTTTAAACAGAGAGAGTATGTCATGTAAAACGCTGCTGCCATAGGGGGCCGGGAGCAGAGTGAGTAAGTATTCCAGTCCGGATTTAATTTTGACTTTTCAAATTGCCAGGTCACAGAGCTGCAGCTAGTTGAGCAGAGGACGCCCCGACTTGCATATCCACACACACTATCCGTCTCAGCTCATCTGGGGGAATCCTCCTTGAGGCTATCCCAGGCCAGCTGGCAGAGACACAGTCCTTGCTAGATGAGTTTAGGGTCTGTTCCATCGCTGGTCAATCCCCAACTGGGGACTTCCCGGATACATTCTACCCAGAGAGACATATCCAGTCAGACTAGTGCACCGATGAGCGCCCCTAATCTGGGTTCTGCAGGCGAACTCTACTCCGGGAAGCTCCTTCCGTGTGACCCTACTCTAGAGAAAGCGCCATTCCGACTTTGACGAAAACTTATGTTTACTATGTCCCTTCATGCATCATAAACTTCACAGAGGTCGATCAACAAGGACAAAACAATGAGGAATTTTCAAATTAAGCCTATTATTAAAAGTACAATTTATGAATCTCGCCTGTGCGTTATTTTCAGACGAGATGAGCGGAAACATAACAAATGGCAAGTCGCTAAACTAAGCACTAATTTTTGCTACTTGCCTTAGAAGGATTCCAAGGGGTACTAATATAATAAGTCTGGGGGAGGAGGAGCCTCTGTTTTAGTTTAGGAAGACACCGACCCGAAAGTCATGTCCCCCCCGAGCGCTTTGTATTTCAGTCAACGGCTGATAGATAGATGTTGTGTATGACCATTGCGACTTCCTATATGGCCTCTTATACACCGATGTTTTTGGAAGAGATAAACTTTATTGTTAGAGAGGTACAAGTTAGAGTGAGTTATTAGTTAAAGGTTCGCGGGCTTATTAATCAGCCGGGCGGGGTCTGCTGGAGAAGGTTCGAGAATATTTTTGTATTTCACTGCACGTGATAATTTATCCAGGTTTGTTGTTTTCATTTTTATTATGGATCCGCTCTCAATCCGAGCTTTTCTTTCTTGGGGTTTCTTTGTTCCACTTTCAGTCTTGCGTCACATTGACAATGACACTCTTTCTTGCCACACCCTCGTGTTGTTCAAAAAAATAAATACGAAAAACAGGCTTTTCATTACAAGAATGACCCTGACGGTATAGACCCTGTCGTTCCCTCGCCACCTCTTCGTCCGTTTCGTTTAAGAGACGCAGTGTTAGAGCATTTTGTAAACTGTAGACTGCTGTGTGAGGCGTCTTCCTCGCAGTATTATTGTTTCCGTTGTCCGATCCATTCCTATCCTATTTTTCTTTACCGCTTTATCCGTTTGCCGGTGTCGCTTGGGGGGGCGGGCGCAGTCTAAGCAGAGACGCCAGACTTCCCTATCCACACAACACCTCCTCCAGCTCGTCTTTCCGGGGGGACCCCAAGGCGTTCCCAGGCCAGCTTTGAGAGGGACATAGTCCTCCAGCGTTTGTCCTAGGTCTTCCGGGGCTCTAACTCCCGTGGGACGTGCCCGAACACCTCCCAATAGGGAGGCGTCCTAAGGATAATGCCTCTGACCAGGATGCCCCGAGCCACTCTCAGACTGTTCCTCTCGACGTGGCAGTAGCAGTCGGCTCTACATCCGAGCTCCTCCCGGTGTGTGTACCCGAGGCTCATCACACCTATTTCTAAAGGCAGCGCCCGGAGACACTCTGCGGGGAGGAAGCTCTATTGAGCTGGCTTGTATCTCGCGATCTACCTTTCTTTTAGGTCATTACAAGCGTCTGAGTGACTATAGGTGGAGGGAGGGTGGGGGAACGAAGTTCTGACCGGGTGAGCCAAGAGCCCGAGATATGTTGTCGTTGGTGTGAAGTTGATATTCTCCCGATCAGCTTTATTAAGTGGTACTTTAATTTGATATTGTTAACACGTGTGTATCAGGTGAGTCTGGTGTTGTGTTGATGAGGTGGATTGTGGGGGGAACGTGTTATTTTTTGGAGCTGTGTGTGCTTGTTGTGTGTGTTGTGCGTGTGTAGTGTGTGTGTGTGATATGTGTGAGTTTTGTCTTTTTTTTTGTGTTGTGTGTGTCATCATTTGTCATTTTTTTACCCTTTGTTTATTCCATTTCTGTGGTTCGTCGGTCGACGTGGCAGGATCAGAGCGCGCCAGCTCTAAATCTGCAAACGCATCAGTCCCTCTGATCTCTCCTGCATGGGGGTTGGGTTCACAGGATGTATGGCTTCTCGGGGATCGGAAGACATGGCCCTTGGTCTTTCAGCGGGGGCTTCCCGGCGAATGTGGGGGTTATAGTTGTCTTTGCCGGACACAACGACAGCTAGACATGCGTGGGGGAGCAGAGTTGTGTGTTTGATTTAATTTTAATAATTAGTTTTTTTTGGTATGTATGTGTCTGTTGCTGCTGTAATGCTATCTTTTTTTGGGTTATGTGATCTGCAAGGGGCAATTCCTTCTAATATAGGAATAGATATGAATAATAAGTTTCTATTCATCATAATAAAAGTAATAGAACATTATGTCATCAGAAACTAGGTCAGTTCATTGTTTTCAATAGTAGTTGAGTTTCTGATTCCCAATGCTAATTCATCAAACGCAAAGTCATTGTCAATATCGTTGCATGTTCTTTTATTTATGCATGAGCTTGACCCACTTTGACTTCCACGGTCATCCTTTTAATCTGCAGTGTAAGTGTTCCTGATTTACTGTTACTTTTATAACGCCAGAGCAAGTGATCGTGACAAGATGGCCACCACCAATGTTTCTGTCAAGTATGAAAAGTCTGTGGAACTAGAGCTCGGAAAGTGCGGTATAATATGCTGTATTCAGACAACAAGTTGATGTTTATACTTGGTGAGAGATATGCTTTGTTAAACCAGTCAGAAGAATCGTGCATCTACTCCGCTTTTAACTATGTGTAGAGTGAGGCCTTGAACTTGCCAAATGAGGGCCTGGTAACATATATTGTAGAGCAGGGGTGTTTCATTCCTACGGCTCCGCGGGCCGGAACCAGGCCCGGCCAACGAGATTTGACAAGCCCCGTGGCTCATGATGTTAAAAAATATAAAATAAGTTACATTTGAAAAAGCCGCTCCGCCGCCCGCGGACGCCGCGAAGCGCCGCGCTCTAGGGGGTGGTCCAGAGCGTCTGTAGTGCTTTCGCACCATGAGCGGTGCTGCAAGGGAATAACATCTTAATACTACAAGACTCGGCGAAAAATTATGAACTTTGAGGCGATAGGAGGGATATTGAGAAAAACGAGAAGATAAACCTGTGCTGCACTCTGAAGACACAGCCAGTCTTTTTGTGCCCAGAGCGAGAGGTTGAGTGCGGCGAGGGCTGTGTAAACGGAGTAGTCTGGGCTAGTACGAACTTGGAGCATTTGCTCGCAGCGCACCAGTGGGCGAGAGAGAGTAGTTGTTAAAGACTCTCAAAGGCTGCCAGACATGGCTGAGAAACATCCATCGCTTTTACCAACATGTTGCCATTGATAAGAGATGTGTTACTGATGTCACTATAGTCATTTGTGGTGTTACTGATACCTATCAGATGGTTTTTGAGCGCTGCTGTGGTGCTGCTGCTGGATTTCTGCTGTGTTGCTGGTGTGTGTGGTGGACGGTGTGACTGGTACCGATGGTAAATAAACAGGTGTAAGTTACTCAAAGCTGCAAATGGAGGTGATGATTTTTGGACATTTGGACTGTATTTTACACAGAGACACTGCATGCAGTCGTAAGAATGAATCACGTTATGGAAGTAAACTTGCTAAGAAGTACAGTTGCTGGGTGAGAAACCTTACTTTGCTTTTGGTTATGGGAAGTTATGTTTTATTCATTTCACCTGAATCGATTGGTCCAGTTTGATGCTTTCTCTGTTGATAATAACATAACCATGGACCTTACCACACTGAAGGATGTTGAATGTGATAATACTATGAACTCAGTTGGGACTTACCACGATCTGTGAAGATGTGTTAATGTGATAATACATATACAGGACCCTTACACACTGACGATGGTTAATGTTATAATACAAACCATGGACCTTACCACACAGACGTGGTTAATGTGATAATAACATAACCATGGACCCTTTACACACTGAAGATGGATAATGTGATAGATAACATAACTCATTTGACTTTTTATCCACACTGAAGCATGGTTAATGTGATTAATTAAACATAACCATGGACCTTACACACTGAAGATGTGTTAATGTGATCAGTAACATAACCATGGTCCTTACACACTGAAGATGGTTGTTAATGTGCTAATAATCATACCCATGGACCTTACACACTGAAGATGGTTAATGTTGGATAATAACATTAACCATGGACATTACCACCACTGAAGGATGGTTAATGTGATCATAACATAACCATGGACCTTACACACTGGAAGATGGTTAATGTGATAATAACATAAACCATGGGACTTACCACAACTGAAAGATGGTTAATGTGATACTAACATACCCATGGACCTTACACACTGAAGATGGTTAATGTGATAATAACATAACCATGGACCTTACCCACACTGAAGATGGTTAATGTGATAATAACATAACCTTGACTTTCCACACTGAAGTGGTTAAAGTGTTAATTAACATAACCATGGGCCCTTACACACTGAAGATGGTTAATGTGGATAATCAACATGAACCAGGACCTTAACACACTGAAGATGGTTTAATGTGATAATAACTATAACCCATGGACCGTACCACACTGAAGATTGGTTAATTGATAATAACCTAACCACTGTGGACTGTTACCTCACTGAAGATGGTTATGTGATAAAACAGTAACCTATGGACCTGTACACCACTGAAGTGGTTAATGGGTCGATAATAACATAACCAAGGACTTACACATGAAGATGGTTAATGTGATAATTAATAACCATGGGACTATTACACATTGAGATGGGGGGTAATTTGATAAATAACTAACCCTGTGGACTTTACCACACTGACGATGGTAATGTGCTCAAACCACACACTATGTCCCTTACCACGACTGAACTAATGATAAATTATCTATCATCTCACTTTTCCCCACCACCGTATATAATATTATTCTCGATACACACCCCCCATAACTCCCCATTCCTATAAATATAAAACCCCCCCCCCCCCCCCCCCCCCCCCCCCCCACCCCCCCCCCCACCCCCCCCCCCCCCCCCCCCCCACCCCCCCCCCCCCCCCCCCCCCCCCCCCCATCCCCCCCCCCCCTTATATATAATATTATATATAACCCCCCCCCCCCCCCCCCCCCCCCCCCACCCCCCCCCCCCCCCCCCCCCCCCCCCCCCCCCCACCCCCCCCCCCCTTTTTATTATATATGCCCCCCCCCCCCCCCCCCCCCCCACCCCCCCCCCCCCCCCCCCCCCCCCCCCCCCCCCCCCCCCCCACCCCTTTTCCCCCCCCCCCCCCCCCCCCCCCCCCCCCCCCCCCCCCCCCCCCCCCCCCTAACCCCCCCCCCCCCCCCCCCCCCCCCCCCCCCCCCCCCCCCCCCCTTGTAAAGTCCATGGTTGATTGGGTGGGTAGTCGTCAGTACAGATTCGTCTGTTGGTGGTAAAGTCAATGGTGATGTGTGTAGTCATCACAGTTTAACGTCCCTTCTTCTGTGTGTAAAGTCCATGGTTATGTTATGATCACTTTTTCCTTTCTTCAGTGGTGTAAGGTCCATGGTTATGTTATTATCAACATTAAACCATCTTCATTGTGTAAGGTGCCATGGTTATGATCTGTAACATTGATCCCATCTTCAGTGTTGGTAAAGTCCTTGGGGGGAGGTAGCTATTATTACTTTAACCATCTTCAGAGGTGTAAGGTCCCATGGTTATGTTATTATCACATTATCCATCTTCAGTGTGTAAGGTCATGGTATTTTTTTATCACAATTAACCATCTTCCGGTGTAAGGTCCATGGTTATGTTATTATCACATTAACCATCTTCCAGTGTGGTAAAGTCCATGTTTTGTTATTATCACATTAACCATCTTTCAGTGTGTAAGGTCCCGAGGTTATGTTATGTTATCACATTAACATCTTCAGTGTGTAAGGTCCACGGTTATGTTAATTTATCAATTACCCATCTTCAGTGTGTTTGGTCATGGTTTATGTTATTTTACACATTAACCATCTGTGCGAGTGTGTAAGGTCCATTGGTTATCGTTATTATCACATTAACATCTTCAGTGTGGTAAAGTCCATGCGTTAGGTTGTCTTTTTAACAAGAACCAGTCTTCAGGGTTAGGTACAGGTTAGGTTATTATCACAAGTGTAACCATCTTCCAGTGTGGTATGGTCCATGGGGTATTTATTATCACCAGTGGGGGGGTTATCATCATGTCAGTGTGTAAGGTCCATGGTTATGGTTATTATCACATTTAACCGATGCTTCAGTGTGGTTAAGTCCATGGTTCTGTTATTTTCACATCTAACCATCCTTCAGTGTGTAAAGGTCCATGGTTATGGTTTATACATTAACCATCTGCAGTGTGGTATGGTCCTTGGTTATGGATTATCACATTAATCCATCTTTTCGTGGGTAAGGTCCATGGTTATGTTATTATCACAGTACCCGCTCTGCGTGTGGTTAGGTCCATGGTTATGTTATGTATCACATGTAACCATCTTCAGAGTGGTACGGTCCATGAGGTTATGTTATTATCACAGAGAAGCATCAAACTGACCATGATTCTGTTGAAATGAATAAACCAACTTCCATAAACAAAGCAAGGAAGGTTTCTCACCCATCATCTGTACTTTCTTAGCAACTAGTTTTACTTCAATACGTGATTCATTCATAACGTCTGCTGCAGTGTCTCTGTGTAAAATACAGTCGAATGTCATTATTCATCAACCTCCATTTGCAGCTTTAAATACACCTGGTTTTCCCATCGGTACCAGTCCACACTGTTCAACACACCAGCAACAACGCAGAAACCAGCAGCAGCACCAAACAGCAGCGCTCAAATCCTCTGATAGTTTCAGTAACACACAAATGGAATATGTGACCTCAGTTAAATCGTCTCTTCTCAATGGCAACATGTTGGTAAAAGCGTGGGTGGAGAGTGGTTTCTCAGACAATGTCTGCAGCCTGTGAGAGTTTTAACAAACTCTCTCTCACTGTCGCGGCTGCGATGGCTAATGTAATGTTGTTAGCACAGGTAGCTATCCTTTTTCAGCAGCAGCACTAACTCTCCTCTGGGGCACAAACAGACTGCTGTGTCTTCAGGGCAAGACAGGTTTTCTTTGTTTTCCTCAATTCTTCGCTCAAAGGGCCGTATTTTCGCCGAGTTCTTGTAGTTTACGATGTTATTCCTTCAGCACCGCTCTGGTGGAGCCACTACAGACGCTTGGATCACACCTGAGCGCGGCGCTGCTGCGTCGCGGCGCGGAGCGGCTTTTTAAACATGTAACTTTATTATATTTTGACATAAATGAGCCACGGCCTTGTCCACATCTTCTTGGCGGGCCGGTTCCGGCCCGCGGGCCGTATGAATGACACCCCTGCTCTAATTATAGGTTCACAGTCCTCATGGCGTTCATACTTACCTTGTAATGCGTGTGAAACGATTACTTGACTTGTAAAAGCAAATTCTAAAGGTATTTACACATGTTGTCCTTGAATACAGCATATTTATCACCCCAGTCCGAGCTTCTAGTTCCCACAGAGCTTTTAATACTTGCCAGAAACTTTGGTGGTGCCATCCTTGCACTATCACCATTCTCTGGCTTGTGAATGTAACAGTAAATCAGTAACACTGCAGATCAATGATGACCGTGAAGTCAAAGTGGTCAAGCTCATGCAGAAATATAGATAGAACATGCAACTGATAATGACAATGACTTTGCGTTGATGTTAGCATTGCGGAATCAGAAAAACTCATTCTATTACAATGATAACTGACCTTGTTTTGATGTCAAATGTTATTATATTTTATTATTGATGAAAGAATTATTATTCTGTAATTCTCTTATTAAGAGGAATTGCCCTTTGAGTTCAAATAAAAAATAGCATTACAGCAGAAAAATGGCACATACATACAAATAAACTAAATTATTAAATTAAACAAACACACAAATCTGCTCCCCACTGATCGGCTGCTGTGTTGTGTCCATGGGCAAGTACACTTAACCCCTCATTGCATGAAGCCCCCGCCTTGAATGACCAAGGCCATGTCTTCGATCCGGAGAAGCCATCATCCTGTGAACCCACCCCCTGCCGGAGGATCAGAGGGACTGGATGTTTTTTTTTTTATCGCTTGAGACTTTGCGTGGCAGTCTGATTGCACTCCCACGACCCCGAAATGGAATAAATAAAGGGGTAGAAAATGACTAATGATGACCAAACACAACAAAAAACAGGACATAAACCTCCAATTCACACACACACACACACACACACACTCACACACACACACAGCTCTACTCAGGTTCCCCACGCCCCTTTAATACAGTAAAGTGTACAATACAAATTAAATACATTATAACGATGTTGGAGAATACAAACTTCAACATCGGAAACTATCTCGGGCCTCTTGTTCACCGGTCGAATCTTCGTTCCCTCCCTCACCTATGGTCATGAGCTTTGGGTTAATGAACGCACGCAGAAGGAGGTAGGGATTCAAGCGGTCGAATGAGCTTCCTCCGATGAGTGGCTGGGCGCTGCCTTAAGAGATAGGGTGAGGAGCCACGGTTCAAACGGGAGGAGCTCGGAGTGAGCCGCTGTACTCCACGTCGTGAGGTACCAGTTGAGTGGCCGGGCTTCTGTTCTGGTGCCTCCTGGAGCCTATGGGGTGGTGTTCCGGGCACGTCCCACCGGGAGGAGGCCAGAGGGAGACCTTGGACACGCTGGAGGGATATGTCTCTCAGCTGGCCTGGGAACGCCTTGGGGTTCCCCCGGACGAGCTGGAGGAGGTGTGTGTGGATAGGGAAGTCTGGGCGTCTTGCTTAGACTGCTGCCCCCGCGACCCGGCAACGGATAAAGCAGAAGGAAAAATGGATGGATGGATGGACAACGGAAACATAATACTGCTGAAGACGAATCAAAGTAGTTACAGTTTTAAAGTGCTCTAACACAGCGTTCTTAAACAAAGGGAGGGTGCGAGGGGAAGAAGGTTCTAGTCCGTCAGGGTTTTGTAATGAAAGCCTGTTTTGTATTTATTTTTAACACAGAGGGTGTGGACGAAAAGAGTGTCAGTGTCAAGTGTGACGAAGACGGTACGCTGGAACAAAGAAACCCCAGAAAGAAAAAGCAGGCATTGAGCGGATCCATAATAACGAAAACAAACAAACCTGAATTATACTGCATGATACAAAGATATTCTTGAACCTTCAAAGCAGCTGTTAAGGGAATTTATTACTCATTTACTTGTACTTTAACATAAGTTTATCTCTCAAACATGTGTTAGAGGCCTATGGAACAGTCCAAATGGGTCAACACACATCTATCTGGGCCTTTGCATCTAGAATACAAAATCGCGGGGGGACTGAGCTTTCGGGTCGGTGGCTCCTAAACTCCAGGTTGCTCTCTCCCCAGAATTCTATATAGTACCTTGGATCCCTTTAAGTCATGTACAAAAATAGTTGCTTGTTAGACTTGCATTTGTTATTGTTTACCCGCTATCTGTCTGAATGCACCTGGATTTAATTGTAGTTTAATATGTGTATTTGAAAATGTCTCTTTTTTGCCTTGTTGTGTCGGACCTTCTGTGAAGTTTATGCATGACGGGGACATAGTAAATAGGTTTTGTCAGAGAGGGGCATGGGCGCTTTCTTAGAAGTAGGGTCAGACGAGGAGCTCGGAGTAGGAGTCGTGCGGACAGTTGAGGGTTGCATCTGCGGCATCTGTCTGTCTGGATGTCTCTTGGGTAGATGTCCTGGAATGTCCCACTTGGGAGTTGACCAGGGACGACCCAAAACTCATAGAAAGGGACTGTGTCTGCTCAGTGGCATGCGGAGAATGCCTCTAGGAGGATCGCCCCGAGATGAGCTGGAGGAAGTGTGTGTGGATAAGCAAGTCTGCGTCTCTGCTTCAGAGGGGTGGACCTCTGTGACCTGGCAATTGTTAAAGCAAAGAAAAAGGTATGGTACGGTTACTCAGTCTGCACTCACGGGCCCCTAGTGGCAGCAGCCGTTACATGGACTTCTCTCCTGCGGTTTAAAAATAAAACAAAAACATGATGTGATTGTGGACAAACGAGTCTTTTGAACATTCATTATTTCACGAGTCCATGAAACAGCACAAAAAACATCTGTTAGCCCCCCTCGGCTGTTACAGTAAACCGACTAAACTAATGATCCCAGACTGCGTGTATTTCAGTCTCCAATTGTCTGTCATTGTTTACCAGAAAAATCGTCCTAAAACACAGTAATTCCACTCAGTCTGCCATCACACACAGATTATTAGACAGTGTGAGCCCTGGAAAAAACATGATCTAATACATAGTTGTGGTAATGTGAATTTGTTAAAATGTGTTTATTAATTTGCCTTAACACGTTTCAAGAACGTCTTCTTTGACCATTCGTATAAATTTTTTTGCATCATGACGAAGAAAAAACAAAGGATAAAAGTTGGTGCATCGGCTCCATCTAGAGGTAGAAATGAGCCATTGAACGGTTGTTTAATTGTTTGTTTGTTTTAATGGTCAAAATATCATGGTTGAAGGATTCTAAGTTAGTGAAGTGAAAATAAACATGTATTGGTTCATTTGATAGTGATAGAAAATATGAGCTGTTTTGAGAGTGAGGAATGATAACATTTTTATTTTCTAGTTACTCGGGGTATGTGGTGAAAGTTAGGTATCTCAGCTTTAATTGTAGATATTAGAGACAGGTTCAGTATTGGTCCTATAAGAAAGCAAAACAAAAGACTGATTAACAAACAAAATGGACTATGGTTATTCTACATGTGATTATTAGTATTTACATTTACAAAAAAAAGTCTATATAGTCTCTGAAGCTGGAATGATCGAAAAGGCACAAATTCTCAAAAGTCTTTTTTCCAGTTTGCTTCAGGCTCCTCAGACTTCTGCGGCGAGCGGTGAACGACTGCGGTCGGATGATTTGGCTGATTCGGCCATTTTCTTTCAAGAGCGTTCACTTTGGTCTCGTCCATCTCCAAACACACAAACTCTGAGCTCTGTGAGAGAGAAAGTATGGCATTATATACCATGTAGCAAAAAGAGACTTCAAAGTATTTCTGGAAAACTTTGTGGGTTTCATTAAATAGACCTTCTTGCACACACACTTCCGTTTGTCCCAGCTCCAACTCTACCAACGCCACGGCCGCTGGGCGCCGTGTCCCGCGTTTCCTGTGCGCCGCCTGGCCGTTCCACCCTCCAGCTAGGCCCCTCCAGCACGGCTACCCAGGGCTCGGGTTCAGCTGCGCCTCCCGCACTTTGGAACGGTGGCTTTTCCAGAAAAAAGCGAGAGAGCACGCGCGGGGGGGGGGGACCCTGCTTGAGCTCAGGCCCAGAGCCGCCATGACGCCGTTTGGTTACTGAGCCGTGTGAAGGCCTCCAACTGGGCGCTGGTCCATGTCCGCCGAGGCTATGGACTGAGCAAAATACGAGGGTGAGAGTCGTAGCGATGTTTTATTTATTTATTCGATTTGATATGGTCACCACAGTCAATGGACAGACCCAGATGCTCTGCATTTGTGTTATTTCTGAACATAAATAGTACGATTGGCCAGTTTCCCCCCCAACACGAGTACATCTGGTGACCTGTTTGAGCCATATGAACCTACTCGAAGACGGAGGAGACACAGGGACTGGCCTCCTGCTGGGACTCGAGGGAACAGGGATGGCCTCCTGCTGTGCCTGCTGAGGAGACGGGATGGCCTCCTGCTGGGACACTGAGGAGCCAGGACTGGCCTCCTGCTGGGACACTAGGCGCACAGGGGACTGACCTCCTGCTGGGACACTGAGGAGCACAGGAACTGGCCTCTTTTTGGGTCACTGTACGGAGCACAGGGATGGCCTCCTGCTGGACCACTGTGGAGCAAGGATGGCCTCTGCTGGGACGTGAGGAGCACGGGCCTGGCCTCCTGTGGGACCCTGAGGTGCACAGGACTGGCTCTCTTTCTGGACATGAGGTGCCAGGGACATGGGCCTCTGCTGGGCATGAGGAGCACAGGGACTGGCTCCTGCTGGGGACACTGAGGAGCACAGAGGACATGGCTCCTGCTGGGACACTGAGGAGCATCAGGGACTGGCCTCCTGCTGGGACTCTGAGAAGCACAGGGACTGGCCTCCTACTTATACCTGCCTATACTCTTTATTCCATGTTAAAAGAACATTGATTTCGCCTTTTTCTCTCATGTTGCTGTTATGGTGCCTCATCCACAGACAGTACACCTTGCGCAGGCCTCTCATCTCTCGCGCAGGGCGCTGAACTATCCTGCCGACACTCTCGGGTTACAGCTCATTTTCAGCTAGCTCCTCTTGTGATATCAGGATTGTTGTAATAAACTGGGGCTTCGTGATTCCGTTCACAAACCGCTCAGAGATTTGACAATCAGTTCAGCGTCCGCCATGTTGGTCCTCACGCAGTCCGTGAGGAGCGGCCGCAGCAGGGCATTCTGGGAAAGGGAGTTTTAGTTAGATCACAGCGAGTGAGCAAATGCAAACTGACAATGCCGGTATTTAAAATCATAAATTAATATCTTTGTACATGCATAAACTATGCCTGTAAACATACCTAAAAACTGACATCTCTACTTTTTTATTAAAACCGTAACCGTTGACGTTATCTCTCGAGGCACGACGTTGCAGGTAAGCGCCTCTCCGCCAGGTTGGGAGTCTCCCCCCCCCACCCCCCCCCCCCCCCCCCACCCCCCCCCCCCGCCCCCGTCCAGCGTTCCACTTACTAACACAGAACCGCCGATTCCTCCATGATTGAGAAACATGGTGAAAACGAGTGATGTGCTGCCGGTTTCTTCGTGGTTTATAATGTTCGTTAGTGGCGTCATTTTAATATGGACTTTTAACGTGTACTTTCTTCCACTGCCATAAGAGATAACTGAGTTAGCTCCTTCGCTTTGGGTTGCTCCGTCTGAGCTATCTTTAGAGCTTAGGGCTTAGCTAGATACTCTGTCTAATGTATGGATGTTGTATTGTGTCTTGTTTAGGATGCTCAAACATATTATTTTTTGAGAAAATGATTTGATGATGTAGAATGGCATAGATTGGATTACCAGAATTTGAATCTACATTAAATTTTAAACATGGCATAAGGCTGAGTTTGTTTGGATAGTATATACGAGCGTTAAATGTTTATGTTGCTGATATCTATTGGAGCTGACCTACTAATATCAAATCTGTTTATAGTGTTTTGATAAGTGAGTGAACCGTTTTGATGCGTTCATCTACGTTATCTTTGTGTAGTGCAGTATAATTTCTGGATGCCGCTGAATGTGAGGGTTGAATAATTTATTGGGTCATTATGACAGTTGATTGTTGTATGATCCGTAGCGAGACATCCTAGAATCGATTATGATGCTTGATTGTCATTTACTATTTGTGGAAGTATTGGTCTGCTGCCCTTATGACCAATTAGACATGAGTGTGGTTTTTGTATATTGGCGTGTCTGGGATGTTCCAACTGTTGAGTATGTGTGCGGGGAATTATTATCTAGTGTTTGTAAAGACGACTCTCTCGAGATAATCAGCTGTGAATGAATGTCATAGGTGTTATTCATGCGTCTTGAGCAAAGGGCATTGGTTGTACCTTTTTGTCAAGTATTGAGTAGCCTAGATAAAAGCCACCACCAATATCTACTGCCGTCCCCCCCCCCCCCCCCCCCCCCCCCCCCCCCCCCCACCCCCCCCAATTAGTTTATTTGTCGTGCGTTCGTCCAGGGGTATTATAATGTACATGGGTTTGTGGAGAGTGAAGAGTAAGGTTGATACGTAAGCCATGAGTTTGTTTTATTTGTAGATAATTTGTTTATTGCAGACATCGTCGTGTTTCAGAATGTTTGGTGTACCTAGTCACGCGACGAAGTTAAGAGGGGTTCAGGGAGCGTGTTATATGTGGAGCTTATTGTTGCAGAATTGTGTGGATTTGGTAGTTTGGGTGGTAGTGCTGGAAGATCTAGTGGCCTACGGATAATCTTGATCCTTTCTTGCCCTGTGAGGCTATGTATGGCACATTTTCTTTACGAACCCATGCCTCAATTCATGTGACCGGAAATTGGTGGTTTAGTTCGTTTGAGAGTTTTAGATGATAGGGATAATGACATTGATTGAGATGTAGTATGAATTTTCATAGTAGATCTAGCTTTTACCCTTGTTTGTATTATCGTGTAACACTAGTTGTTTTAGATGCATGGATGGAGTTGTGTGCAGAGATTTTGCTGAGCCAGTTGGGTGAAGTGGAAGATGCGACAACTTTTTAGGTTTTGGTGGGGTCAGAGAGGCTTGCTGTTCCTAGTCCAAGTTTGCATTGTTGTCGTCTGCTTTGTTGTTTCTGACGTTTCTGCTGCTTTGTTCAGTTACGTTCGCGGCCTTTGTCGGCGTTACACTGATATGGATCCAGCTGAGACTTTAGACCAGGCCAGCCAAACTTTTAGGGTGATCGCTTGATTGCTCAGATGTACGGAGGCTTGCTTCTACTGGAGTTGTTGCTCGTATTGAGTTTGTTGCCCATTGCGCTTTTCTATAAGCTATGATAAGAGGGTCTGAGGCGAGATATTATTTGATGCGGTAAATGGCCGTATTTTTTGGTGCTAGTCTCAGTGGTGAATATCCTGAAGCGAATCGTCCGAGATAATGTGCATCTAACAGAGAACAAGATAAATGGCTTTAGAACAGACGAGGACATTAGAGAGGTGTGAGTCTTCATCTAACTATTTCGACAGTACGAGTTAGGATAAGTGATCGAATTTGAAACACTGATGTACGTGATCTTGTTAAATGTCTGAATTTTGTGTGCAATATACTTTGATAAGTTTGGAAAAGATTTATGGTAGAATTTTGCAGTATGCTCAAAGGCATTGTGAAATGAGAAAATAGGAAGAGTAGGCAATAAAACTTAAATTCCTAGTAGCTGTCGACGTATCCTTTGTATTAGCCATGATTGATGACGTGATGAATATCCGATCTTCTAACGTGCTTGCGTTGAGCGAGTTTAGGTGTAGTATGCATGTGTGCGTGATGGTGCAGGCTGGGGCTGGCGGTTCTATGTTGACAATGTTACGGAATGCTTCGTTCAGACCAATTGATGAGTGGGCAGTAGGCACATCTGACGAGTATACTGAGTAAGTAGAGTAAATTGTATGATGGTTTCTGTAGTGGAAATAATTCAGTTGTAAGAGAGAATGGTCCGGTGAAGAGGTATTAGTTGGAGTTTATGTGGTAGTAGTAGAGTTGTCTTTATTTTTGGTTTATTATAATCGGTATGCGTAGCGGTAGGATGCCCCCCCCCCCCCCCCCCCCCCCCCCCCCCCCCCCCCCCCCCCCCCCCCCCCCCGCCCCCCCCCCCCCCCCCCCCCCCACACTGGGTTTGATCTAATTAGCGATATTAAGGTTTTATTTGACAGTGGTTGTGAATGGGTTACGTAGAGTGATGTATCCTGTTGATTCATGTGGGCCATGGAGCTTGGGCCTTGATTGAATTGGGAAGCTATACGATAAGTTCATCTGGATGTGGATGAGGTGATAAACCTATACTAGTACGATGTACTCGTTTCAATAGTGGTTGGAAGATGGTCCCAAGATGTCTAAGACTGCAAGTATAGGTTGGGTAATGGCGAGATGAAAGTGCTGGATGAAGCCGCCTGCTGCTCTGATGTCAAATGAACTCGATTTAGAAGCCCCTTTGTAGAGTGTAGACTTGATGACCAATGTTAGTTGATACAGTGAGGGGGAGCTTGAGATGCCTTTCTGTGGGGGTGTTCGGAGTGGTTGTTCGTTGTCGTCTGATGAGGTCTTGAGAGGGATTGCATCGTGACGCAGAGCAAAATGATATGCATGATTCGGTGTTCTCGTGCGTGCAGGAAGGATAGTAAGAGGTCGCTCAATTGCGGGGGGTTTAGAGCTGACTGTTTATGTCTTCTTCTCGTTTTTCTGATGCTTAGGAGTTCGCGTTGTTGGTAATTTAGATGGTAGGGGAGTCATACGTGCAGTTGAGCGATTCGTCGTTGCTGGCATTGCTAACTGAGTGGGAGTGTATGTGTTACAAGCGGACATAGGTAGTTAATGTGGTTACGGGATTGAATGTGGCTGTAGTATGGTCGTGTAGTCAGGGTTTGTACGTTGGCGCGTTGAAATAGGTATCAGTATATGTAACTTAATAGTGTGCTGTGTTAGGTGATTGGTAGCAGACAGAAAAAATTGGACGAGGTGTCTGTGAGTGTCGCCAAACTGGCGTGAGAAGGTTTTAGGTTATTATTAGTTCTTCTTTACAAGAGTTGGTTACTCATCCTTGGGTTAGCTCCGCCTGTTGTTCGTTGTGCTCATGCAGAACAGGGAATGAATGGCCCGAGGTAGTGCATGGAAGTTATATATTTGTATAAGTCTATTGTTGTCTATCGTCACTACGTATGTTCGGATGATTATTATGGGAAGCGATGTGGACGTTGGTGCTACTAATAGTTGGATTCAGGTCGACTATGCCGGATAGGTCATAAAACCATGGTAGTTCTAGGCTTGTGTTGTAGGGAGTTTTCCGGTTATTGTCCTTGTACAGTCCTGCACGTAGGCCATATTGCTATCTAATACTTGTTAATACTAACACCCCCCTTTGATCACATAATCACATGTGATCACTCAAATTGGATCAATCAATAAAATGGAAAAAGAAAAAAAAAAATTCCAAAAAAAAACTTCAAAAAATTATTAAAAACAAAGAAAATTATTAAAAACAAAGAAAATGGGTACTTCATCAAATCATATCAGTATTTCACTGTATCCTGGGAAAAAAAAAAACAATTTTCACTACTTTGGACACACAAGAATGTTAGATTGTGTCAAACTTTAGCTAATTTACTATCACTTTTATATTTTAAAACTATTCTAGATCTGTTCACAAATATTTAAAACTTTCATATTTGCTTATTTGCTATTGAGCCATATTCTTAAACATAATAAATCTCTCTGTTGTATTACACTCTCATTATCAGTGGCTTTGTTAGTGGGATTTTGTTCCATGTCTATTCTCATTCTCAGGAATAAAACTGTGAACACAGTAAGACAAATGGTCAACATTTACACTTCTATAGTGGTCAGTGATTTATTACTTTTTATTATCTAAAGATATTATTGTCAGGCAGTTTGGGATGAATGTACATCATTAATCAAATTAGTATTATCCTAATAGTAGCTAATGAGGTTTGGGGTTGGGGTCAGTTATTCTACAATGGTGTTTGTGCTGGAAACTTCTCAATATCTAAATATCTACTATTTTGTTTTTGTGCTATACACAAATACATCAAAATGCTTTTAAATGCTTTTGAATCTCTGTTGGTGCTAATCTATCTCATTAATCTAGACTACACTCATATGAACTTTTTGCATTGTCAACATTCACAGATGTTTGAACACAAGTGAATTTGGCAAGTATCTAATAAAACTGTACATAAACTGTAATTAACTTTATCTACTTTTGAAGTAAATGCTTGTGAAATGGTCCCTTTACCATTTGATATTAGCACTGGCTGGAAATATTCTCTATTTTTGAAAGAATCTATGGTTGATGCATTTATCTATTTCTCTATTTTTACTCTACTGTGGCTCCAAAGCTCGGTTGCAGCTAGAGCAAAGGCATATTTCTAGTTTGTGACTTCTGTCACTTTCAATATCTGTAACATAACTCTGATTCTAATATTATAGCTGATCTATCAAAAGGATAACATTGTAGGGTACTATTTTAACTCTTATGTGGAAATGTTTATGAAAAACAAAGGAAGTCAAATTCTACTCTTTTACTACTATTTAACATCTACTAAAACGCTACAATACTTATACTTTATCATTTTAAGTTTTTGTCTGTCAGATGTCTGAATACTTAACATGTATATTGCATTTGTCACAGTTGTGGTCCTGGTTGTAGCAATAGCATCAGCAATAGACGTTTTTCATTGGCTGGTTCTTGTTCTGCAAATGGCTGTGTCCAATAGATCATCAGATATCCAGAAGCTAGGGACAAACACAAACAAAAGAAAGAATCATGAGTATCTCTCTCATTTAGCACTCATCAATGTATGATTTCAAAAATATAAACATCACTCCCCAGTTTTCTCTCTCAGGTCCTCAGGTCCTCAGGTCCCCTGAGGGTGAGTCTCAGTCGTCATCAGGTCAGGTCATCTTGGACATCAGTAGGGTCCAAGCCATGGTTTTGGTCTCTCCAGATGCACATCAGGATCTCCAGATACAGTCTTTTCAGTTGAAGCACATCAGGTCATTTGCGATGCACTTCTGGTCAATGGTGCAGTGTCTCAGTTCCTGTACACAGCTTGTTATGCAGTAGTTACTCTCTATGGTTAAATCACTTTGATTCTACTTTAACACAATTTCTATTCATGCTGTTGCTAATGTCCCTCAGACAAAAGCAAGCGCAATGATTCAGTTTACTTCTCTAATTTGTGTTTTTATCAGATCTAATTCTAATCAATGTAATTACTTCACACAGTACAAAATCAACAAATCAAAAGTGTCAGGACAGACGTCAATTAAGTCCATGACAATATAGGATTCAAATGAACATTTCTGGTCTCAAAAAATACAGATTCAACTACAGATTCAAGTGATAGACAATTAAAAAAAATGTGTTTACATTGGAGTAAACTTTTAATGCTTTTTCCTCATGTTCTACTTTTTCATGTATCTATATGTAAATGTGAATGTGTGTGTGTGTGTGTGAGTGTGTATGTGTGTGTGTGTGTGTGTGTATATGAATTTTGGGGTTGTCTCCAGACTCCTCGAACCACCTGTAGGTGTCAAAGGTCACACTGTGGTGATATAACCACGTGGACACACTTTCAACTCCCTCTAGGTCTCTACCTGACGCTCCACCCATCACGTCTCCAGTTACCTCTCTTTCATGGCCCCGGTCTCACTCCCACTTACTTCTGTAGTGGGGGGAGGGGCAAGGAGGTGGCATTTCCCTTTGCTCTTTGATCTGTGACCTGTGGCTGGGTGGGCGTTGCGCTGTCCAGTGTCCAGCAGTGACCTCTCGTACAGTGAGGCAGAGTCTGAAAAACAATCCTTGAGACAGCCAATTTAAAAACAACAGATACAGTATCAGTATGTGAATGAGATTGTTTTTCTCCCTAAAGTCAAAACAATTTTGAAGCGCTCTGGGTTTTCCCACATGCGCTATATAAATAAAGATTACTTATTCTCTTACTAATGATGACATTTTAAAACCAGAAACTCTTAATATAAAAAAACAAGACTCAAATCTCTTGAACCTTTTTAAACTTTAAAATATGTATTATGTACTTTTGTACTGTGTTTAATTATCTTGAACATCCTTGGGTTTCACTTTATGGACTTTCCCTTTTACACTTATTTATCTCAGCATCTATTCTACTAATTTAAAATAATTGCTGCATTTTCAAAATGAGGTCAATATGAATTGGAGCACATTTTAGACCAGGCTCCTCTGCTGTGGCATCAGCAACAGTAAGGTCAGGTGCATAGTCAAAACAAAAACAAAAAGTCAGCACTTGAATGTGAATTGGGTGAATTGGGTAGTTTAACTTAATAATATAATACTTTTACAGCTAATCTAATTCCCTCTTTCTTTTTAGACGAAGTCTATAATCAATAATCACTTTTAACACAGATTCTAATTTAAATGTTTGAAAAACGGCTTTAATAACTAAAATAAAAACATAAAAAAATTCTCACAAACAGCTATGAAATATATCAGAGATACAATAATGGACTCACAAAATAAGCAGCAGATTTAAAAAGAAAAGCAAAGCTTTTTGTACTAATCTTTGGGTTTCAAAAACATACTAATTCAAAACTTCTATTCCCTAATGGTGTTTGGTGAACACAATGTTCAAATGGCAAATTTCGCAAATTTAACGGAATAACTACTATGAAAAGCCAAAAATCCTAAAGCAGTAGCTTTGCTTCAGATTCAGAGCCAGAGCAGCGAAGGTGGGGGCCGTTTCCCTGACAACGGCAGCAGATAGAGATGTGCACACACACACAGGCAGAAAGATACAGAAGAATAACTTTCAAGATTACTTTGTTAAGCAAATATAACTGATGTTGTTCTTTAAACTTTTGTCATCCAAGTCTAGAAATGGCCACTTTCCACACTAGTAACAAAAGGCACTCTTGTCTTTAACGTTTACGCTTCTATTTTATCGAGGTAGCTAATTTAAACTCAAAATCTCTTTCTAAAAAACAAAAACAACTGTTGGATACAGCCCTCTCATAGCTTAACTGTAGATAAAACTCGGCAAAAAAAATGTAAATAACTCACGAAAGCTCTCATAGCTCAACTTTAGATAAAACTCTGCATTCTCCGGTGAACTCTGTTCACTCCAAAAACAAAAACTCCCTTTTTCTGTATGTAATTTAAACCGTGATCACTGAAATATAACAGATGTTATTGCTTCAACTTTTGTCACTCATTAAACTTGAAATTGGCCAATTTCAAGACTTTTGCAACAAAGGTCTCTGCACTCGTTTTTCCTCCCTTTTTATTTATTTTTTATTTTTACACCATGGTTTCTCTCAAAGGGACTTTAACCCTGAAGCTTCTTCTCAAAGGGACTTTAACCCCGAGGCTTTTCTCAAAGGGACTTTAACCCCGAGACTTTCTCAAAGGGACTTTAACCCCGAAAACGTTTTCTCAAAGGGACTGGAACCCTGAAGCTTCTTCTCAAAGGGACTCTAACCCCGAGGCTTTTCTCAAAGGGACTCTAACCCCGAGGCTTTTCTCAAAGGGACTTTAACCCCGAGGCTTTTCTCAAAGGGACTTTAACCCTGAAGCTTCTTCTCAAAGGGACTCTAACCCCGAGACTTCTTCTCAAATACAATTTAGAGAGTTTGACAGACCCCAAAAACAGACCAAAATTTAGCTAATATCCAATTATGCAGACTTTACATATAAAAAGGTGTCTGCTTACCTTATTCTTGTCAAACCGGTTCCAAGGACTGTCCGAGAGGTCTGCCAACCTCTTTTCCGCGTCGGAATATTCAATTTAAAAAACAAAAGTGACAGAAGCGACAAGAAGCATCCAGGAACAGCTCTTCCAGCCTGCTGGAATCTCCGCTCCCAGACACAGCATGCCGATCTCTCACGCAGAGGAAAAGAAACAGAGCAAACTCCCCCAAAACAATCCAGAGAATGGCGCACACTGAGCCGCGCATTCTCCACCAAATCTGTTAGGATTCAGCAGACAGAGACGGATCGTGGTGTGCCAAACTCTGGAAGTTTATTTAAGTTGCTCTCAAGTTCCACTGGTTTACTCTGTTTCTTTCTCTCAGACAGAATAAAGGCAGTACACAGTTTATATAGTCATTGTCACGTCACACATCGAAAGACATACGTGTCACAAAGAGACAGTCAAATCATAGTCATAACATGGAGTCCTTGTAGAGTCCTTGTACAGTCCTGCACGTAGGCCATATTGCTATCTAATACTAATAGTTGCATTGTATTGTCTTCATTTTTAATAGCGTATATGTGACGACTCATAGAAGTAATTATGCGTAAAAGCCTACTTTTTCTTGTGTCTTATTAGAAGAGCCTTCAAAGCCTTAAACATAAGAAGACAAAATTAACTTTTTACATTTATAAAAGCCTACTGTTAAACAAAGTGTGTTTGGTTTACAAGTAACTGGCTTTGTTCTGAAAAAAAAAAACAATAGAATGCAGGAAAGTTATTGTTTTTGCTATTTAAATTGAATCCCCCAAATCCACTCCAATATACTTTTGATGAATTTGCATCAGTAGGTATGTAGATTTTTTAATTATTCAATAAAATGAATAGACAATACAGCAGACGTTTGTTAAGGCGCAGGTTGGATTTTCAGGTCTGATTGACATTATAATCTATATTTATTGTGTTAATAGTCAATATTCACGCCATGCGCCATACGTTAATTGATTCATGTCACAATATATTTAAAAAAGTAAAATTCCCAAAATATATATGATTTTTTGTGAACAGGATTTTTTTTTTTTTAAACGGGTTTTCATCTGTTTGAACTCCACAATTTGAAACATTCCTTTCTCTTCCAACAGAGACTTCATTGAGGAAGGAGTGGTGGATTATGCAAAGGCAAACCCTGGAACCGTTGTGTATGTGTCGCCTCAGGGCAGTAGGATCCCCAAGATTGTTGCTGAATATTGTAAGTAGTTTCACTTTATTATAAAACCAAGCGTTACAAAGATTACAAGATTTTAAAAATGGCAAAGATACAATATATAAATACTATAGAGTTATTGATTATTATACAGTCTAAAGTGCAATCTTTAGTAGCCCTAATTTCCCTTTTATTTAATACTATAAAATGTATGAATTATATCACCTAATGTATTCATCATCAAAGTGTTCATTGATCTATTGAGTTAATTATTTATTATGGCGTATAGTGTGCTCAAGTTGAGTTAAGATACTGTCATAACTTTCCCTGCCAGACAGGGGGCACCTCACACCAGCAAATCATTAACACTCTTGCTTTGAAGTTCTTGGCTGGCTCTTTGTCACAGACACTGTTCCATATGATTTTTATTTTTTTCCTCTCTGCAGTGAATGGCAAAGTGAGAGAGGAAATCATCACATCTAAAACCGCACCACAGATTTCAGAGCTTCTCACCAAACTGACCAATCAGTCGGGGCTGGACATTATCCGCATACGAAAACCCTTCCACACAGACGCCCCGAGTATCCAGGGACAATGGCACCCCTTCACAAACCGACCTCCGTCTATCGGCCCCATCAGACCACAGTAAACAGAGCCACAGTCAAGACTCATTTAGTAAATAAAGGTATAATGAAACCGTCTGAAATTGTTTGTTTTAGTTTGATATAATTAAGATGCAGCTAAATGGGGCACCAAGCAGAAGAAATGTATGTATGTGTTGAAGACGTTTCTTTTTACTGCTCACGGATGTTACCAAGTGGACTAATAAAACAGCTTTTATGGCTTTCTTAAGACTATAATATTTTTCTAATAAGACGGTGCGTGTAAATAAGCTTGTGCGGCTTAATTTATCATGTTTGACACGTTTACGATGGCAGGTATTGTGTTATTGTGATACTGAGAACTGCTTCTGTATTTTATTTATTATCATTTCCATAGAGTGATAGCCATTATCACTCCACGCATAATTCAATTCAAAAAGACATTTTCTTTTCAATCCAAACCACTTATTATTGTTGAACACATTTGATCCAGTTGAAAAAAATGGATCCATGTTTATTATGTATGATTTGCATATTTCTAACAGATATAAAAGTGATAGCATATACAATTACCCTACCCAACCTTTGGATCTGACTATTGACCTAAACATTCAGTGTACCTTTATGAAAGAGTGATAATCAACATAATCAGGATAACACCATGTATGAACAAAGGTGTAATTATTTCAATTTATGCAAACATGTACCTGGATTAATCTCAAGCCTTCTAAAGCAGGATCAAGATAAGGTTGTGAACTTGGCTTAAGAAGGATTCAATACCTTCTCTTTGAACAGTCTGGGTAGAGCCTCTTGTTGGACCAGTGTTAGCTGTGGGCTGCTTCCCTCCAATACTATAATGATTTTTATCCAGACTTTTAAATTAGCCTTGAACAATGCATTTCACATTTACTGTCCACTCCTTTTAGACATTCAGTACACAGCCTGCTCCAAACACAATCTCATAAAGGTTATTGTAAATGCTGTGGTTGTTCGCTCTTCTTCTTTGCCCTTTCTCACGGCTGTTGGTTTGAAAAGACTTTGGGCTTAACTCGACAGTGGACCGTGCTTTGAAATCAAGTCCTGTCCTCTTTGAGTGTGATGCTCAAATGGAAGGGACACCTCTGTCCTCTCGAATACCAAACCAGCCACTATACTTAAAAACCCCAAGGTTATTTTAAGATCCACAAGTTAAAATGATGCTACACTGAATGAACACTGTTAGTTTAAAAAATAAATAAAAAATAGTGCTTAGTTAGACGTCAGACTGTCAGAACATTGCATTAGCGCTCTCTATCCTGTTAACTTTGATGGATGAAGTAATTACTCAACTCATCACACCAGACAATGGCAGGTGTACTTCTGATTTAATTGCATACTCACAAAAGGGGTGTACACTGTGTTTCTAACAGTTTAACGATGGGGAGTATTTTTTTGAAAAACTGAAAACCTGGATGTGACAGATGGTGTGGAAATAGCCGGAGGGACGTCGCTTAACCTCTGGCACGGAGACGTCCTCTGTGCTGCTGGTGGGAAGAGAGAACGTGTGAAATGTGTTTACTTTTTTACATTTACTGTCTATTGTATTTACTAAACCAAACAATGTGGGATTACATAAAGAGGCGTACATCTGGGAAACACTTGTTAGCAGAGACGGGGAATAACATAAGGAAACAATATTCACTTTTACAGAATATTTGATTACGCTTCATGTAAATTAAACATTAAATAGACTGAGAAAGAATAGATTGAATGTCCATTTGTCTTTGGGTGTTGATGTTAACTTAGAGCTGGTGTCCTGACAAGCCATATCTCTCTTGTCTATTTTCTTTCAGCTGTAAAGAAGAGGCACCCACCGTAACTTTGAACCCACAAAATATAACGATGAAATAAAATCCATGTTCTAGTTCCTCGGTTTGGATCTATCACTAGTTTTCACATGCTGTTAGATATTTAGATCAGATTATTCAGTAAGAAAGAGTGCCAGCCCTCCCTCAGCCAATCAGCTCTCAGTATGTAAGATGACAAGTGTTATAATTTTAATAGATAAAACTAGCTTTCCTTGCCTGGTTTCTTTGTGTATTATTGCTCCTAAAACACAGTCAAGCAGTATACTTAGTTTCTTCAGTACAACCTGGGCGTTTATCATATTTATACTGTACAGCTGGCATATGAATTCAATAAAAGTTATGAAATCATGAAGACAGAGGAAAAAATAAATGTATTGAAAAAACACAATGAAATGGTGCAAACAACTTTTTAGACTGTATAGACATGATTTTTAGGGTCTTGGGGATAGGAGGGGAAAACATTGAACTTTAAACTATAATACCTATTACAAAATTACACCTTAAGTGCAAAAAATATTGTACTCCTGATGCCCTTCCATGTGGCTGGGGTTGGTGCTTTTGTGTCACACAGATTTTCCGTTTCAGATTGGGTGTTGATGTTAACATAAGTATATCTGCTTTATCAGTTTGGCTGAGAGGCACACATCCTTAGTTCCCGAGCATAAACGTCTATATGAAGTTAGTAACACACACGTGCACAAATTGCCTGTAAATTAACATATCTCTTTGGAATGGTGTGTACGGAGCCAGAGGGAAGGATCTGAATACTGAAGACGAGCCGTGCTAAAGTTGCGTTCTGCAGAGAGGACTTATGGAAGAGAATGGGCTGCATCCAAATGGCTCTTGACAGACGTATAGATGCAATTTCTCTGTGTGACTGCGGAGACGAGCAACACGGCGCTGAGCTGCTGTGAATGTAAATGATCCTTAAATATACTAGACCAATATTCAAGTCGACACAATGCACTGCTGTGGCTTGATCTGCCCCTGAACCAGAGCAAAACCAGGTCTCACTGGTTGGACCTGTCATATTGGCTTAATTACACCATCAGCCCCACTTGCTACTTTGGCCGATTGATTTGAATGTTTAATCCCACTAATCTTAACAAATTAATTTATAATTTCAGATGCTCTTTAAAGTTTATGCCAAGGAAACACTTAAAGCCTGTTGTGTGTATTTATCTCTCCACAAATCCATTACAGTGATGGACAGAAACCAACTTCCTAATGTGGTTTGTAAGTGGAAAAGCTCATGTCAAGACCTTAAAATCTGGCATGGATCTACAATAATAATATAAGTGTTGATATAAAACTATGACAAAAACAACATTATACTGCTGTTAGTCTTTGGACATGGTTTAGTCAATTAATACGGTAAATTTGATCCTAGTTTGAACATAAATTATAGGGATTTATATGAGAAACTGGTAAAAAATGAGTCATTTTTGTCTAACCATATTCTCTCATCTTCAGTAGTTCACACTTTTTTTAATCTCATAATACATACAACGTCCGAAGACACATTTGTTATATTTTATCCTCACTTTTCTCCCACTTTCCTCCTCTTGTGCCAAACAAAAAACCATAAATAAACCAAAATAAAATTAAGACACAAGCAAAGAAAACAGTATTGCCTTGTCTTGAGTGTTTGTGTGTCCAACCCCTTTTCCAACTGCATGTAACTATTTTTTGTATCTTTTTGCTTTTGTCTGTACACGGGTGAATAAACGAAATCCAAAATCAACAGCTGTATGATTTTCTATGTGTATCATAATTTTGCAAGCTTTACCCCTTAATCCTAGTCAACCAAGAAAGTATTTATATGGTTGACCTCTGCTCATGTATATTCAATTTGCTTTTGTCTTGGTGTGAGCTATAGTTTGGTCCAGATTTAAGCTTGTGTTGTCCCTTAATACTGTGTTAGTCTCATTCCAATTACACAGTCTATGATCCCACCACACCATCTGCATCCAAAACCCGGCCTGCATACTTCTGAGCGCACAATGTAATCTTCTCTGTGAACAATGGTGTGAAGATGTTTTATCCTGTAGTGTCACGCCTGCTTCCTGTGTGTGTTCATCTATGGGACTAATTATGGAGATCAGACCCGGCTTCTCCTGTCGCAACCGGCATCGCCCGCAATGGAAGCAGCCAGAGCTTGACCCACCAGAGGACACACAAGGGCTCTATATAAAGGATGCTGTTGCTAAGTTACAACCTCTGCTGTCCCTTACGGCTCGCAAATTCGTACTCAATCATAAACTGTGCTGAAATCTGACGACGTTAGTCAATCAAAAACAAACAAATAGGAAAAAGGCATTGATGGTTGAGACTGGGTCGAAGCCAGTTTGAAATTGTGGTGAAATATATACAAGGATATTACATTGTGCCATAAAGGACCATTGGCTGCCATTACTGACATTGTGAGTAATATTAGGCTTTTTGCCAATCCAATCCACTTAAAGTACAGTACAGTAGCACAGAAATATAAAATCATAAAAAAGAGTAGTATACAAATGAAAATCAAGCACAAAGTTTGCTTCAGTCACATTTTTTTTATTTTTCAAAGCAGCCCTGAAAACTTATTTTGTGATCCCGCTAATTGTAAAGCAGAGGAGTTTTTTAGTGGATTATAATTGTGATTTTAATCGTCGGCTGAACGTTCAGTAATGACAATCACCACTTTGATATTTAAGACCTGCTGCTGAATACCTGTCAAAACTCCCAGTTCACTTCCCTCCATTGAAAGGTAAGTTTTAAAACTCACCGTTGTTCTGTTTTGTCTCCTTATTTTCAAATTGAGAAAAATCCACTCATTGCACTGCATGAAAACAAGTGAAACATTTCTAAAAATTGGCAAAATGTGTCTAAATTTGATAGCCTTAAAACACGATTTGCCACTGGGACAAAGCAAAATGATATTGTTTTAAAAAGATACAAGACATTTCTCTCTTGGAATGAGAAAATAAAGCAACAGTTTTTCAAATTAGACTAAATGGCTTCATCGCATTGGAAAATCTTTCTTCAAATTCAGATAATAACCACTCGATTCAGAATCAGAATCAGAATCAGAATCATTTTTATTGCCAACGTAAGTAACGGGAGGTCACAGACTTGGAAATTGCTTTGGCTCAGTGCAACAGTCAAAAAGAGATAATAAAAATAAGAATAAAAAACACTTCTAAAGAATAAATTTAAAT